ACTAATAATAAAAAAGTTGTTCAACTAAGTGATTCTTTGTGATTAAATTTTGCCTCACTTTAGGTAAGAAAATCAAAACCTCTACACTAATTTTTTGTTCTTTTTGAAAAGGCTGCAGTGCAAATGTGACTATTATCTGTGTGGCTTTACAACACTAGATCACAATTATCTATCTATATATTTTTTTACAATAAAAATAATGTCCAGTCCATTTACTTGATACATCCCAGAACCTAATCCCAGTAGAAAAGTGGTGAAAGAAAATCCATATTATTAGAGTTAATCCTTCTTGAATTATTGATTTAAATAAAAAACAAACACATAAATATGTGTTTCTCTTCTCTCTAGAATAATAAATGCTTTCACGTCCTGGTTGGCTGAAGCTTTTATATTTTGAAGTACTGAATTAGTTTACCATATATTAAATTACTTACACTGAATCCTCCAATTATATTGAGACACAATCCTTCATTCAGACAGTTGATGCTGAGCAGCCTGCAGTAGTCAATTACTTCCTCACAGTTCTTCCCAGTAAATCCTGGCATGCAGCTGCAAATACACCAGTGTATTTTAGAAGACTCAGATTTTAAAGTTACTTGCATTTAATTAGGTTCCATAATTCTATTAAATAATGTTCTTCCAGTAACTAAGCAGACCTTATGCGTTATTTAAAAAACAATATATAAAACATGTTTCCAAGCAACTAATAATCAGTTGTTTGATTCTGGATATTTTCACTTCTGCACAGAATTAAAAAAAAATCATTCATTAAAAGAAATGCATTTTTTATATCAGAGCTTAATATATTCTGGGTATTTATGTATAAAATAAACCTTGAGCAAAGCTGATATTTAACAGTAAACTATATATACAAATTTGGAAGGCTTTTAGAATGGATGAGTCTGTTACTGAGTAGTGGGAAAAAATGATGACAAATGAGATTTAGAACAGTCAACACAGTCATTATACACTGATGATTAGCGTACAATAGTCAATAATGAGAAACCTGAGTTTGAAGAAAATGTGGGGAGCCTCTGCAGAGGATATTGGAATGACTGCTGTCTTTGTTTAATAATAATTATAGATTTTCTTTTAAGAAGGAAACTAGCATTCTGCTCTGTGACAGTTTCTTAGCTCCATTTTATGACAATGAAGGAGTGGTTAGCTCTGTCATGGTATAGGAAGCTCTGTGAAGTTCTTCTGGCTCACTGTCAGTACTTGTCACTAGAAAGGTAAAATCCTTTTCTTATCAGTCCTGCCAGTTTTTTAAAAGCCCTTCCATAAGGATGAGACTTAAATTCATATTAAGTTAGCATTGTTCAAGAGAGACAGCCAAATACTGCAGAACAAGTAAATATTTAAGAATTGCATATCTGGCTCAAATTATCAGTGTACAATATATAAAAGCCTGGTTATCAAAACTTTCTTAAGTGTCAAGAGTGATATTCTTCCTTTGATGTACATGTAATTCCTAGCAAAACCACTCCTGCAAGCATTTGTACACATGCTTAGCAGCAGCTCCTGGTGACAAAGTATTGCAGGGGTGGGAGGGCATATATGTGGGCAATGAGAGAGTGGCTGAAATGAAGAATGCTTCTGCAATTCTGGGCTGCAAAGCAATCTATAGTCAGAAGTTAGGAAACTGCTCTGAGTTATACTGGGGGCTACTTTGCTCCCTGGTATAGCCCAGAATCTGGAAACAGTAAACATGCCTTAGAGCCATCTTTGTCACCACTTCTCCTTAGCTGTGCCTCCTGACAGGTGGAGAACACAATCAGGCTCCTCCTAGTTCTCAAACTTAAAAAAAAATAATGTCAGGCCTTACTTAGTAATCCATTCAGTCTCTTTTAACTTACAGAATGTAACAGAGAAATGTATCCTTTCTATAGAATTTTAAAACCAGTCCATAGAATTCTACACAGCAGAGATCAATTTTTTAAACCAATCTAGAAAATTTAATAGAAATACTCTGCTATACTGATTTCTATAAGCTGGTTTAAAAAAATCTGAAAGACAGTTAATCTTTCTCTATTAAACGCAGTAGGATTTTTGCATAAAGGGGCAGTCTGTCCAAATAAAGTCCTGCCGCAAACCTCCCCCTATCTTCAGAAAAAAACTGACAATAATAAAACAAAAATGTCACTATCAAAACAAACAAACCTTTCATATTACATATATTAGTATTTCAAACATCAAGATCTGAAACTCTGGCAAAGAAGTCTGTCCTTATCAGACTTCCAGTCTAGTTTTTGTTTCTACGAAGAAGTTTGTAAAATGTTTGGGTGCATTCACTCCACTTGTTCAATAACATACTACATAGTTACTATTTACATTCCCTTCTAACTATATGGAAAAAAGTAAATATCACTATGTGGTAACTATCCAAGGCTGAAATCTAAATGACAACTAAATTTCCCCTTTTCTTTTAATTTGTCAGCACTGAAAGGTGTTACATTTAAGATTGAAGCAGATTGCCATGTGTACATTTACCAGCAATTATTTTTTGTAACAGAGATTTATTTTCAAAGAACAGTCCTATTATAGAACTTATTTTATTGATTTGCTTCCAATTATGATCCTAGATCAGGTGAGAGCTGCACAGTTTCCCTTGGTCAATTTAATTGGCCTAGAAGCTGCACAGCATCATTTGGTCAATATAATTGGCCTAGTTATTTTACAAAACTGCCATAGGTTAACTAATTAGACCTATTTTTAAAGCTGCCTTTTGCAATTTCTCTATTTGCCCAATTTACCTAATGATGCAGGCTTTCAAACAGGCAAGCCAATAAGAGACAAAGGAAGTGTAAATAAACAGACAGCAAGCAAATTGCCGTAAAGTTGGAAAGATGACAGTAATGAAACAAATATTCTCAAAACACTCTTGCCTATATTTGTGACTTTTTATTGTCCTGGATAACATGGAAAATAGAAGCAGATACAAAGTAAATAATCACAATCTATTGTGATGGATACCCTTGTTCACTGACTATTTGAATTCACTTTAAATTTTGACATTTAAGAAAAAATACTACTATTAGATTCTTAGTGTAAAGTTCTACATGATATAAAGACTGAAAGGATGGAATTAGGATACAAGGTCATATATCATAGCTGAAGTGAAGAAAATTAAATTGAGCCTGTTTGGTTATATGTTTAGAATAGAAAACAGCTGCTTTCCAAGAAAAGAAGGGGTAGGTTGATAGAAGCTGAGAGTGTGATGAATAAAGGCAGAAAACAACTTGAGTGTGAGCAGAGTTAAATGAAGCACTGACAGCAAAAAAACAGAAAACTGAAACAAAATGGTCAAGTCTGCTATTAGCTGTAATAGTGTATTTGTGTAAGACAAGTGGGTATCACACTTATTTTACTTGTTACATAAAGTAATAGTGTAGCAGGTAGTAACAATATATTGAATGAGAACACCTAGGATTCTGTAGTGTGACTAAACACAACGATAATCTAGAGTGTCTGACATTCATTACTGAGGATAGATGGAGTACTTCAGACAAAATGTGAACAAGCCCAAACCTTCACTCAAAATTTGAAGTGAACTGAATCCATATCTTTTTGTTTGAAATATAATTAGTTTTCCTGTTTTAATATATTTCTATTGCTGTCAGTACACAGGACTGTACCATAGAGAACTGTACCAAGCCAGTCTTGAAGAAATGACAGTCTAAAAGCATACAGCATAGACCAAACTGAGTCATATAGTCATCATAGCTAGAATCCTTCATAGAACAGATGGAGAGACAGAAGCTTTATTTGTTCCAAGAGTACAGGGCACCATGAAAGGGGACATGAAGCCGAGAGCAGGAACAAAATACAAAACATTAAGCAAAGGAGGACTTAGTGAGAGTTATTTGTCCCCCTTTGTTCGCAATCCACAAAGAAGGTGAGCCTGTTACAGACTCCAGCTGCAGCTCTTTGGCTCAATCTGTAGAGATTCATGCTTCTAGATCTGGAGGTTCCAGATGTAAGCTCTACTGTAATGGTCAAGATGGTGACTGTTATACCAGTACCAGTGTATCAGTTCACTATAGGGAGATTGTTTCAACTGTTGGGCCTCTCTCATTGTTTTTTCTCTTTAAATATATGTTATGCAGAATTGCTTTTTCATGTAACATTTTTTAATCTGATCATAGCACACATATGTATCAATTATGTTCTCTTTTCCTCTTTTGGAAAGTTATATTTAAGCCCCACAAATATATTTTAAACTTTTCAGCTGTGAATCTTTTCCGATGGTCTAAAGCATTGTGTACTATACATCTGTTATGTGCATGCCCATTCTAAGTTCATTCATAGTATGTTTTCAGGTTTTTATGAACCACAGCAATTAATTCTCAGCTTTTATGGATACCCTAAATTTGTGAGGTTGTTTACTGCACTTGAATAAAGCACAGCAGAACCTACTTTAAGGCAGCCAGATAAAAGTCAAGCAAGTGTGAAGAGTACAAATTGTACTTCTTAATGGTGTGAGAAAATAGCCATAAAGCTATTTTAAATGGCTGGAATTATAGGTCCATATATCTGGGTCACGTCTGTCATTTGCAAATGGATGCTTTTTTATCATACCCTATTTAAATAAAGCACTATTTTTAATATGCTGCTTAAAGGATCCAATTGAGAACTACTAACGGAGGTCTATGAATTAGGAATGAACATACTCATCTTATCCTTTTGAAAGATAATATCATCATCATACACACTGAACACAAGTGGTATCTCTGAAATTTAATTGTCTCACTAGTCTCCAGCGTGTCAGGATTTATTTATTTTATCTTACAGAATTCATGATGAAACAATTTATAACTTCTTCCATGGCTTTAGATCTCTTTTAGGATTTTTTTCAGGCATTTCATTTTAAAATTGCTAAACCTCATATCATACAGCACCAAAAAATAGGGGAAAGTTATTAATATGAAAATTTATAGTTTTCTTTGTCCTCTGTGACTCAGGATTTCTTTTTGCAATCAGCTGCATATCATCAAGTGATGCAATGAAGTACTGAAATAAATTAATTTCTTATCTTACCAGCAATAATAGCTCTGCTGCTGATCTACACAAGTAGAGTTATTTAAGCAGAGTGATAACTCACATGGTCTCAATACACTGTCGCAGAACTTGCCAGTGAACACTGGCAGACAGATACATGCCACATCCTATGGAAGAAGGAGAAATTAGAAAAAAATATTAATCACATTCAAGGCAATTCAGATTTTTTTCCCCTTCTATTGCAGTTGAAGTCCCGACTAGGTCTGCGCCGCACCATACTAAGCACTATACAAAGGCAGCATAAAAATCAGTCCCAGCCTCAAGTAGCTTACAGTCATAATTTAAGAAAGGGGAAGCAGGCCTATATGCCTCCCAGCACAGATTACACCAGGGCTGAGTTTCCTAATTGGAATTGCACCAGCTCTGAATTTGCCTGGCATTATGATTTCACTATTAGCTCAAGCAGGAGAATATTAGTTTGTATAATTTTTCTTCTAAATTTGCTCACATGTGAAATCTCTGTCTATGGGTTTAAGCTATACACCGTGTTGCAACAACTCCAAAAAGAGCAGCATCTAATTCATGAAAGGAAATAGCTTACACGTTTTTTTCTTAAAGACTAACAGATTTATGTGTGCATAAGCTTTTGTGGGTAAAAAAAGTGTGTTTTTTACCCACGAAAGCTTATGTACACATAAATCTGTTAATCTTTAAGGTGCCACCGGACTCCTCGTTTTTTTTTTTGTGAATACAGACTAACACGGGTACCCCTCTGATACTTGAATTTTTTTTCTCTCTCTCATCATGAAGCAAGGACAGTGGGTATGAAAGACAGCTGTCAATTAATGTGAGCTACTATTTACCCAGTAGGGAGAAAGAGACATTTTATAGTAAACTATGTATTGGTATTGACATTCTGACCTTTATATTTCTAATAGGGTATTATTTACATTTGTTTTGATTTTGGTTTCTTCAAGGGGAGTAGGCAGTGTTTACAAAAATGTTTCTTCACAGTCAGTTCTAGGAGCATCAGCACAGAGCTTTATTCTGATCTTAATCTTTTGTGAATTTTAACAAGCTGGGAGGGGTACTTGCAAGTGCTTTGGAGGATAGGATAAAATTCAAAATGATCTGGACAAACTGGAGAAATGGTAAATAGGATGAAATTCAATAAGGACAAATGCAATGTACTCCATTTAGGAAGGAACAATCAGTTGCACACATACAAAATGGGAAATGACAGCCTAGAAAGGAGTATTGAAGTAAGGAATCTGGGGGTCATAGTGGACCACAACCTAAACATGAGTCAACAGAGTAATGCAAAAAAAGCTAACATCATTCTGGGATGTATTAGCGGGAGTGTTGTAAGCAAAGCATGAGAAGTAATTCTTCTGCTCTACTCTGTGCTGGTTAGGCCTCAACTGGAGTATTGTGTCCAGTTCTGGGCACCACATTTCAGGAAGGATGTGGACAAAAAGGAGAGAGTCCAGAGAAGAGGGATAAAAATGATTAACATGACCTAGGAGGGAACATGACCTATGAGGGAAGATTGAAAAAAATTGGTTCTGTTTAGTCATTAGAGGTTTTTAAGAGCAGGTTAGACAAACACCTGTCAGGAATGCTCTAGATAATACTTAGTCCTGCCATTCGTGCAGGGGACTGGACTAGATGACCTCTCAAGGTCCCTTACAGTCCTATGATTCTATGATTCTGTGCATATGATGTACATATCATTATATACACATATAAAATAAACTACTGCATTGCACTCCATAAATAATTGATTGTACAGAATATACAAATATGTGCTTATACATTTCATATAAGACTCAGACCCCCAAAATACAGGATATTTAGACAGGCATTAGATATTTATTCAGCTACATATGTAGATGTGTGTGTCACAGACATTAAAAATAAATTATAATGATCAACAAGCGCTAAAACTTTTCTTTGCATATCTTGACTCCGAAATCATTGTTAATCTTCACATGAATACACTAATGAAAGAACAAGAACACAGAGAGTTGAGATAATGCCAATCAAGATATGCTCTTATTATCAAATCTTGTCCGGCTCTTCCTAAATTTACACTGCAGTTTGAAAGACAGCTTTTAAAAAAGAATTAAAAAACAAAAACACAAAACAACAACAACACACTCACAAAGAAAACAACATGAAATGTAGCATGTTTTATATAGGCATTTTTTGTTTTGCAGGGATTAAAATAAAAGTAAACTATTTTGTTTATTCCTTAACTAAACTCTGAACAAGTGATAGGAAACCTAGGAAAAGTACAAGTGATGGGGTCCTTTTTTAACTAGGAAAGTTTCTGTCTTATAAGCACCACATACATAGAAAATATTTTATGAATTATTCGTATACAGTATGAAAAATGTATTTAAAAATTATACTATTAGAGTTTAAATATTTTGGCTTTATCATCTAGTGTATTTGTATGACATTTAGACTTACATTTGGCATATCAATGCATGTAGCTCCATTCTGACATGGCCTTGAAGAACATTCATTGACATCTGTTTCACAGTCATGGCCAAGAAATCCAGCCAGACATTCACAAACATATCCATGCTCATTATTCTGGCATGTCCCCCCATTCAGGCATGGTTGAGAAGTACAAGGCTCAAGGGGCTCCTCACAAAATGCACCTAAATGAAACAAGCAAAAAGTTAGACAATGTACTGAGATCATTGCTCATCCAAGATAACAAAGCCAGAAAGGACCATTGTGATCATCTAATCTGACCTCCTCTACAACACAGGCCATAAAACTTCCCAAAAATAATTATCAAAGCATATATTTTAGAAAAAAAATTGTCAGTGATGGAGAAATTGTTCCAACGGTTAATTACTTTCACCGTTAAAAATATACTTCTTATTTCCAGTCTGAATTTGTCTAGCTTCAACTCCCAGCTACTGGGATTGTACCTTTTTCTGTTAGATTTAAAACCCCATTATTAAATATTTGTTCCCCACATAGATACTTACAGATTGTAATGAAGTCACCCTTGACCTTTTCTTTGGAAAATTAAATACATTGAGCTCCCTCAGTCTATTACTATGAGGCATGTGTCCTAAAATTAATCATTCTTCATGGCTGTTCTCTTAACCTTCTCCAATTTATCAACATTCTTCTTGAATTATGGACACCGTAACTGGACAGAGTATTCAAGCAGCAGTTCTACCAGTGCCAAATACATGTAAAAATAACCACTCAAACCCTACTCGAGAGTCCCCTGTATATGCATTCCTTGGATCACCTTAGATCTTTGGGACACAGCTTCACACTGGGAGCTCCTGGTCAGCTGACTCTCCACCATGACCCCTAAATCTTCTAAAGAGTCATGCCCTCCCAGGATAGAGTCTCCCATCCCATAAGTATGGCCTATATTCTTTGTTCCTAGATTTCCTACATTTAGTCATATTAAATCTCCTACTGTTTGTGCCCAGTCTACCAAGTGATCCAGATTGCTCTGAATCAGCGAACTGACCTCTTCATTATTTACCACTCCCCTGATTTTTGTGTCATCTGCAAACTTTATCAGTGATGATTTTATGTTTTCTTCCAGGTCATTGATAAAATGATAAATAGTGTAGTGCCAAGAACCAATCGCTGATGGACCTCACTGGAAACTCACCTGTTCCATGATGAACTCCCATTATGTGATTCACAACCATCTGATTGTTATCTTGTGTTCCCACTGTCTGTTTGTAGCATTCGCTGAAACACATACTAACACACACATAATAGTCATCAAATGTGTGTATGTGATGCAACGAAACCTACAAGGAGCAACCTAATATCCCACTTGATTTACATTACATAGAGTGGAGGGATAGCTCAGTGGTTTGAGCATTGGCCTGCTAAACCCACAGTTGTGAGTTCAATCTTTGAGGGGGCCACTTGGGGATCTGGGGCAAAATCAGTACTTGGTCCTGCTAGTGAAGGCAGGGGGCTGGACTCAATGACCTTTCAAGGTCCCTTCCAGTTCTAGGAGATAGGGTATCTCCATTAATTTCTAAAACAGCTGCCAGAACAAGTATTTTGCAGTAAAATTGAGCTTGCAGATATAGGGCTAAACTATGTTTGCCTTACTCTCACCTTACTCTCTTTGGCTTCATTGGAACTATTTGTTTCAGTAAGGTGAAAACATTGGGCCATTTGCTTTAGGAAATACTATTTTTCTTTTCCTAGCATCAGAGAATGCCCAGTGAAACCCTGGGTGAAAATTTTCTATTCCTCATCACCATAGTAACTGAACATGTTATACTTTATTATATTGTACCCTAGAAGCACTCAAAGATTACTTACTTTTGGAAACAGATAGAGGCTACATCTCAATGCTTATCGTAATAAATTTCTCTTCGGCTTTAGACAGAGCTGACACATGGTGCTTTTGATCAACATACATGCTATAACTGAAGTAGACAGCACGGCACTACCATGTCTTCAATCATTCCTCCCAAAGGGAACCCAAAGAGTAGAGCTCCACTACCCAGAATAACTGTACTCTTGAGCTGCTCCCACTCCTTCCCCAGACCGTGCTCCCTCTCTCAGGGGCTGCATGGGGCAGTGCTTGTTTTTATATGCTGACCTTCCCCAGCTACTGCCCCAAGAAAATGCTCCCCTTGGTCATTGCATCCCCTTAACAGATACTATGGCCAATCTCCTCAAATGTATTTAGGCTTGTAACTTCCATTGATTTCAGTGATTGTTAGGAGCCCAAATACCTTTGAGCATCTGGGCCTATATGCCCCCAGAGAGGGAAAGATTGTTTGGTCAATAATTTTTTGTCTTGGCAACAAGTTTTTTTGTCACAGGGTGAGCTGGACCAGGAAAAAGGGTTGAGGTGCTAGCTCTCAACTGTAACTGATTTCATCCCAGATCATACAAGGATTATAGGCTGAGAGAAAAACCTGCTGAGAAAGGGTATGTAGTACGTGGAAGACAGATACTGTTATCCAGATTAAGGAGGGACTGGGGGAGAGAAATTGCTTATTGGGAAGACTCTCTTCTGACAAAGGTCTGTGTAAGGTGGTGCCCTGATGAAAAGGAGCCAGGGAAATGGCTGAGCCTGAGAGTGGCTGAGCTACAGATTCCTGGGAGAGGGCCAGGGAGAAATTCTAGGAAGAGTAAGGTAAATATAGGAACTGCCCAAGGGCGAAGTAGCATAGGGCAATTGCCGGTAAACTGGTGCTTCAAGTTTTAGGGTCCCAGGGCTGGTAGAAGGAGAATACAAGCACCCCTACTGTGTCACCAGTAGTGGCGTGGAAATTCCTGCTACCAAGGGGGATGAATAAGAAAGGAAGGTGTGGACTGGGACTGTCAAAGGACTGGAAGAGTCCCCCTTCATTCCTTTGCAGCAAGGGGAGAAGACCACACATACAATACTTACCCTGGGAAGAGGAGGCAAAGAATGGTGTCTTCTTTTTTTGTTACCCTGGAAAGGAAGATGTTTTTTATTTGCCCAGAGGGTCAGTCATCTAACCGGCTCAAGGGAGACCATTTTAAGTGAGGAAAGTGAGGCAGCAGCTGCACCCACAGGCTGGGAGGTGAGGCATACTTTCAAACCCTCATAGCTCCATCCATTCTGCTTGTTGAGTCAAATAAGAGCTGGGGACAAGTACCAGATCCCACAGGAAGAACTAAGTACTGCAGAGGATCAGTCCTTTGATGATTGCAGTTGTCACTTGGTTCAGTATTCTGTTATGTTACAATTTCCCATATTCAACATCTTCTGCGAAAAAAGCAGGAGTTGTGCTTTTTCACCTAAACGCCAATAATAAACGCTCATATATGATGGAAAGTTTGAAAAATCAGATCAATAAAGAGAATTTTGGTGAGAGGTGGGAGACAGTGGCTTGAGTCCTTTATTCTATCGCTTCCAGAACTTGATCTCTGAACCATCTATTGAAGAAGATTGAGAGGTGACTAACAAGTACTAAACTAACAGGTACTAAAGGGATCTTTAATCTAGTGGAGAAAAGCATAACAAAATCCAGTAGCTGAAAGCTGAAGTCAAATTCCAATTCAAATTGGAAATAAGGCATAAAATATGTAACAGGGAAGGTCATTAATCACTGGAACAAACTACGAATGGAAGTGGTGATTCTCCATCTTTTGGGGACTTCAGATCAAGTCTAGATGACGTTCTGAACGACATGCTTTAGTCAAACACAAATTATTGGGTTCAGTATGGGGTGGCTGGATGAAATGTAATGGTCTAAGAGGTCATTCTAGATGATCTAATGATCCCCTGCGACCTTAGACTATAGAAATCTATTTTTACATGTAGCATGAACTATATCATTCTAAAGGATGTGCACAATATAGGTGTTCTAAAGATAATCATCTTCACAAATACTCATCAAAGGAGATTTATTAGCAACATTTTGGGGTCATTACAATATACCAGGTTGCACCAATTTACCTATTAGTAAAAATAGGAAACCTGGGGGAGGAAGGACATCTTCCTGTACCCTCACTAATAAGTATGCACCTTTGACATTTACCATCAAAATCTTCTGGACACCTTCCCAGATGCAAACTAAACTATTGCGCATGGCACTGGTAAAGGGAATAGAAAATGTGTATGCTATTCAACTGTTGAAAGGAGGGAAATGTTGAAGAATACATAAGCATAAACTCAAGCCAAGAAAGATGAACTGAAGGGAGGAGAATTTTCTTTATGCAACATGTAATTTTACTATTGAATGAAACATTGATACAACCTGCAAGCACAGCAGGAAAATATTTTTAAAAACTCAGACAACCCAAGGCTTAAATAGAAAGGGCAATAGCTAGGTACTAATAGCTGGATAGATTTGCTTCACGATCTTTTTCTATGCCTGGATATTAATGGAATGTTAAATGCCCAAACTTCAAAGGTGCTGAGCACAAGCTACTCCCAGTGAATTCAAGAGAAAGTGTAGGTGGTCTGGTCCTCTCAAGATCAGGCCCCACATTTCTATTAAAGGGAGGTATTGATGATTGTACTGAAGTTTCTTTAGTCTTAGATGTTGTGTAATTAGCCACCCAAAGCAATCATTGTTTTTTAAAAATTCTTTGGGTAGCCAGTGTAACATCAAAAACCCTAGTCCACTGGTAGATGATTTCAGTTAATAAACTCTAATGTGTACAGAGAATACTTAACAACTTAAGTGACTTTTGTGTCTAGAGAGGATAAAAAAAGTAATTATAGAGAGTACCAGTGGCTGGGTTCATTGAGGTTATTCAGTTCAGTTAAATCTTGTTTAAATTATTTCAATCAAATAAAATCATAGTGTCTTAAAAAGCAAACATCAGTGAAAAAAGGGAGCATCCTGCAGAGCAAAGAGAAACTTCACAAACATTACTTTGAGTAACTGAAACTTATTTCCCAGCATCTTCTGGTTGTATACATGTTTGGGGAGGAAAAAATAAAATTGAACACAGTTGTTGGTGTTTAACTTACTCCCTGCTAGTCTTCATCAGTTTTACTACCAAACTCTAATGATATTCCACTGTCAATGGACATACCTGATACATCCAGAAGCACATTGGGCAGCACACAGTAGATTATGATCACACCACATAGTGTCCTATATAAATATGGTTACTAAACAAAACAAAGCCATTTTTATTTTTAATAGAAATCACAGCAGGGATTCTATTTATACAACCAATTCTGATCTCCAATTGAGATGCATATTCCTCAAAAAAAAAAAAAAGAATGAAAGCTCATTCTA